CAGTTCCCACATAGAGTTATTGTATGTCCTTAGTTGAGTTGTAACTTTGTAATAGTTCTTTAATTGGAATTCCTATCTAGCTTGTTTCGAAGCATTCTATAAGAACCAATTTGTAAACCTTAAACTAGTGTGTTTGAGTCTTGGCTAGAGTTATTCATATTGTAAAGTCTTTGTAATAGTGTTATTATAAACTGGCTTGTAATAGAGTATTACAAGTTAGTGAGGGATTAAAAGGTTAATTCCTAGGTTGCATAGGTTGTAATCTAAAAGTTGCTCAGTAGTGAAGTTGAAATCCTACAAGGGTAGGTCGTGATTTTTAATCTTGTTGAGCTGAAAATTTCCCACGTAAAATTCCTCTTGCCATTTAATTACTGCTCTGTGTGTGTCTACTGTTGGACCTAATGGAGAACCTGGTTCTCTATAGAGTTTGGTAGACCCTTATATTCTATCAATTGGTGTTAGAGCGGATTCTTTCTATCACGGTAATACCTAAAAAGGATCCTCATGGATGCTCTTCCAAACTTCGAAGAAGGCCAATCTACTTACAGACCCACCTAGGTTCAATGGACAATATTATGGCTAGTGGAAAACTAGAATGCATGACTTCATCATGGTTGAAGATTCTGAGCTATGGAATGTCATATGTGATGGACCATTTGTTCCTACCAAAAATCTTGGCGACCCACCCAGTAGCCATTCCCAAGTCAAGGAAAGCATTCAACGATGCAGATATAAAGGCCATAGAGAAAAACTTTCATGCTAAAAAAATTCTGGTATGCGGTATTGGACCGGATGAATACAACATGATATCAGCATGTCAGTCAGCCAAAGAAATATTGGAAGCCCTGCAGACAGCTCATGAAGGAACAACACAGGTCAAACAATCCAAAATTGATATGCTCACAACTGAATACGAGCTCTTCAGGATGCAAGACAATGAATCTGTCAAAGAAATACATACCCGGTTCACCTCTATCATAAATAAGCTTCACTCCCTTGGTGAAACTATTCCAAGAAACAAGCTGGTTAGAAAGATCCTAAACGTGCTACCCAGTTCTTGGGAAAGAAAAGTGAATGCCATTACATAGGCAAAGGACTTGCAGGAGCTAACTATTGATGAACTTGTTGGCAATCTAAAAACATATGAGATGAAAAATAAGAAAGACAGTGAAAGAAAAGAGCCCAAGAAGGAGAAGAACCTGGTCCTCGAAACAGAAAACAACGAGTCAAATGGTGAAGATGGTGATATGGCATACCTAACAAGAAGATTCCAGAAGATGGTTCGCAAGAATGGAGGCATTCCAAAAAGGGGAAGTTCTAGCAAGCCAAAGAATTATGATCTCTGTTATAAATGTGGCAAGCCAGGACATTTCATCAAGGATTGCCCTTTCCTAAAGCAGGATCAGTACAAGAACAACTCTGACAAAGCAGCCAAAAGGAACCTAGTTCCTACCAGACACTTCAACAGAGAAAACGTTGTTGACAATGTTGTGAGAGAAGCTCTTGCTGCATGGGGAGATTCATCAAGAAAATCTGGAGAAGATGATGAACCAGGTAACAGCTCTATGATGGCAGTAGAAAGTGAATCAACCGAGTATGATTCAATTTTTGCTTTTATGGCCCAGTCTGATGATGAAGATGATGATGATGAGGTAAATTTTCTAGATGTTCAAAGAAATCTGAAATCTTATTCGCCTAAGAAACTCATGTCTTTGGAAAATTTGCTAATTGACGCTTATCATAGTCTTGTAAATGACAGAGATGTCTTAATAGTTAAACTAGGAGAAGTAGAACAGTCTAGAGATGACCTAGTAATAGTTGCAGTCGATCTAAGAGAGTCAATTGAGAACCTGAAGAAAGAAAGAAATGTCTTAAAGAAAAGGATTGAAAATGTGGAACAAAAAAGAGATGACCTTCTAGTGGTAGTGATGGACTTAAAGGAAACCATTGGGAAACCCACAATGCAAAGTAGGGATGAAAATTATCAAAAAGGAAAGGAAGTTGCAAGCGAGGTACACAGTAAGCTTGAAAATGAGCTAAAGAAAGTGCAGTTTAGTCTGTGTGCTGAGCTTGAGAAAACAAACAACTTCAGGAAGACCTAGATAAAGTAAAGAGTGATCTTGAAAAATCACTCAAATAGACCTGGTCCTTTGATGCTATCACTGCCATGTACTCCAATAATGGGGGAAACAAGTAGGGGATTGGGTTTCAAAGGGAAAAGATTCCTTACAACCCTATTGCAAGTATGTTACTGTACCTGACAATTGGCTTTGCACCCACTGCAATAATAATGGGCACCTTAAAGAAAATTGTAAGGCCAGATGTCGGTCACAACAGAAAAACAAAGCCTTTGCTGAAAAAGTAACTACTAGTAGAGAACCTGGTCCCTCATTTAAAAAAGTGCATAATGCCTGCATGGACCAAACGATCCCTTATTCACCCCTTTCCTTATTACAAGGGACCCAAATTGGCTTGGGTTCCTAAAGCTAACTCCTAATCTTCTTGTGTAAGGAACAATGAAAGGAAGCAACCTACAATGGTACATGGATAGTGGCTGCTCAAAGCATATGACTGGAAGTACAAATAATTTCCTTTCACTAAAGGCCCTGTAAGGAGGGAGTGTATCCTTTGGGAATGGCAAGAAGGGATACAATCTGGGAGTTAGAAGGATTGGGAAGTCTCTCTCTCACTCAATAAAAAATGTGTACTACGTGAACGGCTTGAAGTACAACTTACTAAGCGTTTCCCAAATTTGTGACAGGGGAAACAAGGTCGAGTTTGTGTCAAAAATCTGCACAGTGACGAACCTGGTTACAGGTGAGGTGGTGCTAGTGGCAAAAATATACAAGAATATCTATGTAGCTGGTTTTGAGTCATTGAAGAATGGCGATTTAAGTTTCCTAAGTGCTGTTGATGATAATATTGAGCTATGGCACATGATGCTAGGTCACGAAAGCTTCACGCTGTTGAACAAATTAGTAAGGAAGGACATGGTTTGTGGTCTGACCAAATCAAGCTTTAAGGATCACAAAGTGTGTGATGCATGTGTAAAAGGGAAGCAAGTTAGATCTTTGTTCAAGCCCAAAAAAGAAGTCAACACCGCAAGGCCATTCGATCTCCTTTACATGGATCTGTGTGGACCATGAGGGTGCCAAACAGAGGAGGAAAAAAGTACATCTTTGTAATAGTTGATGACTATTCCAGATTTACCTAGACCTTATTCCTTAGGACCAAGGATGTAACCTTGAAGTGTTTGTTGCCTTTGTCAAAAAGATCCAAGTGAAGATGGGTAATAAAGTAGCTTGCATCAGGTCTGATCATGGGACGGAGTTTGACAATGCCAAGTTCTATGAATTCTGCACTGAAAATGGCATCACTCACAATTTTTCTGCTCCAAGAACACCTCAACAAATTGGTGTTGTAGAGAGGAAGAATAGAACTCTTGAAGACATGGCAAGAACAATGCTAATTGACAGTGGGATCGCAAAATATTTCTAGGCAGAAGCTGTCAATACTGTGTGATACTTGGTAAGCTGGTGCATGATCCGGTCCCTTTTGAATAAAACTCTATACAAATTACTGAATGGAAAGAAGCCCAAGCTGACACACCTAAGAACTTTTGGGTGTAAATGCTTTGTTCATAACAATGGAAAGAAAACTCCTGGGAAGTTTGATGCTAAAAGTGATGAAGGAATCTTCCTGGGATACTCATCTCAAAGCAAAGCTTACAAGGTCTACAACAAAAGGACTCAATGATAGAAGAAAGCATTCATGTGATATTTGATGTAGCTCACCTTTCATGTGAAAAGGAAAGACATGTTGATCAAGATGGAGAGCCCTTATCTGTGCCAGGTGAAGTAATTGACATAGCAAATGGAAAGGCAGACATAATGAGCCATGTCAAGGAATCCAGTGAAGATGATGCAAATACATCTCCATCAACTGGAGAGGAACCTGATCCCCCAATTACAACAACTGAAGTTGAAAACATATTTGTTGACGCAGTTCAAGGAACCCCACTCGGTGAAGCAAGAAACACTCAAGAATCCCAGTTAGATGTGCCTAGTGCCTCTACCAATGAGACTCGGGGTACCAAATTAGAGGTTCAAAAGTTCACATCCTCTTGACAACATAATCACTTCTGTGGACTCAGAAGTTCAAACCAAATCAAAATCAAGAAACTCACTTGCCTTCTCAGCTTTTCTTTCCCAAATAGAGCCCAAAAATATAAAGGAAGCGCTAAAAGATGCAGACTAGATCACAAGCTGCATCAATTTAAGAGGAACAAGGTATGACACCTGGTTCTTCGACCTGCTGATCTAACCATTATAGGAACTAGGTGAGTATTCAGAAACAAGCTTGATGAATTCGGAAATACAACAAGAAACAAGGCAAGACTTGTGGTTCAAGGCTATAATCAGGAAGAAGGAATTGATTATGATGAAACATTCGCTCATGTAGCTTGAATGGAAGCCATTAGAATTCTGATTGCCTTTGCATCTCATATGGAGTTTACTATATTCCAAATATATGTCAAAAGTGCATTTCTAAATGGCTATCTAAAAGAAGAAATCTATGTCAAGAAGCCTCTTGGCTTTGAGTGTCACGAACACACTGATTATGTGTTTAAACTAGATAAGGCATTGTACGGGTTAAAACAGGCTCCCAAGGCTTGGTATGAAAGATTGTCAAAATTCCTTCTGGAAAATGGCTTTGCAAGTGTGAAGATTGACAATACTCTTTTCCTAAAGAAACGAGAGAGGAACCTACTCATTGTTCAGGTGTATGTCGATGATATCATATTTGGAGCCACAACTGACTCTCTTTGCGAATTTGCTAAACTCATGGGGAGTGAATTTGAGATGAGTATGATGGGAGAACTGAATTTCTTCCTAGGAATTCAAGTGAAGCAATCTAATAAGGGAACATTCATAAGTCAGTAAAAGTACATCAAGGAGCTACTGGAAAGGTTTGATATGGAAGCCTCAAAAGTTATTAACATGCCCATTGCAGCACCTACTCGCCTAGACATGGATGAACCTAGTTCCCTTGTAAACCAGACCATGTATAGAGGAATCATAGGGTCACTATTGTATATCACTGCAAGCAGACCAGACATTGTTTTTAGTGTGGGTTTCTATGCAAGGTTTCAATCAAATCCAAAGGAATTTCATCTGAAGGCTACCAAGAAAATACTGACATATCTCAAAGAAACACATGACCTGGTCCTCTATTATTTTTCAGGAGACAATTTTGATCTTATTGGGTATGTTGACGCTGATTATGCTGGATATCTGGTGGACAGGAAAAGCACTTCTAGGATGGCACACTTCCTGGATTCCTGCTTAATCCCATGGGGTACAAGGAGGCAAAATTATGTGGCACTTTCAATTGCAGAAGCTGAATATGTAGCAGCTGCCTCTTGTTGTGCTCAACTTTTGTGGATCAAGCAACAATTGGAAGATTTTGGAGTATTCTCATATGGTGTGCCTCTCTTATATGATAATACTAGTGCACTCAACATGGCAAAAAATCCAGTTCAACATAAGAGGACAAAGCACATTGATGTACGTCACCATTTCCTTAGAGACAATGTTGAGAAAGGGCTTATATGCATGAAATTCTACAACACTGAAAACCAAATTGTAGATATATTTACCAAGGCCCTGAGTAGAGAATACGTTGACCAAAATTTTCTGGCACTGGGGTTGGTAAAACCCAATTGAGAACTCGGTCCCTCAATGATTGGCTATGAAAGGTTCAGGTAAACTTAGCTAAAAGGTGTTTTCTGGTAAAGTCTAACTCATCTCTATACCGTTACAGGTAGACACGCTTGATGATTACAGAGCAAATAAGCATTTGAAGTTGTACACTCGTACAAAGGGCAAAGCTTACAGATAAGAGATCAGTCAGGGAACCTGCTTTTCCTGACACAGGTTAGTAGTTTCTATGTTCTCTCATGCACAATTCTAAACAATCAAAACAAGTGCCACATCATCAGCTTGTCAGCGTTTAGTTTGCATCTTTTAAACCCAAACGTCTCACCAGTTATAAGATTGACCCATCTCCCTAAGACCTACCACCTTTTCTCTAACCAATCCCTATGTCATCATAAATACACAATCTCTGTCACCACACTTCACACATTAACACTTCCAAACCTGTTCCATGTTCACTCTCTTTTCAGGTAACCAAATATTCTCCTCCTCTTACCATGGCTGAAGATTAATCGTTCTCTAGTACTATCGAGTCCTCACCAGTCGAAACACCAGCACCAGTCTCTCGTCCTTACACTACTGATAACCAAAACCCTAGAACAGAGTTACCCCCACCCTTCATCTCCTATCTTACCCATTCAAGTCTCTTCTCTCTCAAGAGTTACCCAACATCAACTCTCGCAGGAGGTGTTGCCCAGAGCTCATCTCTCACCTCGCCATAAAAGAGGGATGTCATGAATATTACTGAGAATGAAGGAAATCGAAAATTCTCAAGTTCTCCTATAGAAGAAAAGTCAAAAGTAGACCAAGTTGAGGGAAATAAAGTCATCGACTCAACAGATACTGCTCCCAAACCTCAGTCCACAGGTGCCTCTCTTATTTTTCCTGAGCCTCTCATGAATCTGCAGGAAATGAAACGATCGAAAATATGCTATCCATCGCAAATAAAAGGGGGTTTTGTCGGAGGAAGTGAGGATGATCTTAAGATTCAGGGGGAAATGATTGAACTTGTTGAGGAGGATAGTGAGCGGGTGCCTGTTGATCCTTCGGCACAGGAAGGTACTACTGGGGAACCTGTTGAAGGACCTGATCCGCCTTCAATTTAGGAACCCCAGGTAAGTACTGACCCTACTCCCTCTCCTTATTTAGATGTTGAGACTCCAAATGTAATCATGCATGAGACATGTCCTGCGTCTGTCAATTAAAAGGAAAATAATGCAAAAGATTCTGATGACTTACCAATCGCAAGTCTGCCTAGGCGAAAAGTAGTTGTTGGTGAAGAGCCCACTTCTAAGCGACCCACAACAAGGTTGAAAAAGAAGGAGGATCTTGAGTCTGCTCTTAAGAACAGTCGGGCTAAATCAAGGAGGAGACAATTAGTGAAGGATGGAAAATTTGTAAATGAGGAGTTAGTTACTGTTGTGAGTGTGGATGAAAAAGAATAGGAGGAACCTAGTACGTTGACTAGAAAGTCGTCACAAGCATGGTCTTCTCAAACCAAAAAGGGGATCGTTTGTGTCTTTGAAACATCGGACTAGGCTTGCTAATGCTAATGCTACTGAGAATATGGAGAAAGACTCAGGTGAAAAATCTATGAAGTCTGATAAAAAGAAGAAAAGTGTCCGCAAGACTGCTAAGAGAAAGGTTGATACTGCTGATGAACCTGGTTCCTCAAAGAAGGCCAAGGCTGATGATTCGGGAAGTGCTTTAAAAGAATGATTGAGAAGTCAAAAGGTACTATGGGGCGTACGTTCGCCTCTGATGTCTTGGAGGATGTTGGTATGAGATAGTTGGTTGAAATCTGTGATTTCCAATAATGTATACATTTGTTCATAGATGATGCTACTAGGGTATATGAGGAGGAAGTTCAAAGCTTTTATGCAGACTTGTACAAGGTTGAGGATGGTCACATTTGCGCCTTGGTAAATGGCATTGATATGGTATTAGACGTTGCTTTGCTGGGATCTATTCTTAGTGTACCCACTGAAAGGTTATCTAGTGTTCAAGGAGTTTGTACTCAGAACTTCAGAAATGCAATCTTGAAGGACAGAGTGGTTCAGCAGGGGGAACGGGTTCAGAAGGAGGCCCTCCTTCCTATTTATGAATTGCTATTTGAAATTCTAAACAAAGTGCTGCTGCCTCGAGCTGAACGATGTTCTATCACCACTCGTGCAGACCTGTTCCTTATGGAAGCACTAGATGACTTCACTACCATCAATCTGCCTGGGATCATGATAGCGCACATGAATAAAGTGGCTGATTTTAAAGATGGTAAACATGGGCTGCCATATGGGTTCCTTCTTACCAAGGTCTTCGAACACTTCAAAGTTCCTAATGGACCAGTTAAACTGGGTGCCAAGAAGCAAACTTTTTCAAAAATCACGCTTGAAGAATGTGAGTGTATTAAAAAATTTAGAGGGGTTGCAAGCACTTCAACTTTTTCTCAGTTGATCAATGCTCAAAACAGTGCTACATTTGAGATAAGGCAATTGAAAGCAAGGAATGCTATCATTGAGACTCAGATAAGTCAGCTGCAATAGGCACCTCATTCCAGTCATTCTCAGAATGAACAGGTTGCTAGCCTGACTAAGGAGAACACTGATCTCATGAAACAAGTGGAGGACCTGAAAGAAAGACTGCTCAATGAGCAAATGTCAGCAAATGCTCGTATGGATCTAGTCCTCCAAACAATTTCCTCTACTTCCAAACTTTCTCCTCCCAATGCCTCTTAAATTCTGTCCTCTCAGTGTCCAGTCTCTCTGTGTCAGTTATTCTGATAATAACTTGTGGTACTTTTGTTTGTTTGTTCTACTATATGGATGTGGTGGTAACATTGACTTTGCTCCTGCTGTAAAATCCAAAATTTTGTTAATGCAAGCTTTTCCCTTATTGTTGTTTGTATTGTGTTTTTATGATTTGTTCATAATCATGACTGTGTGCACATATATGGCATGAGCTAACTTATAACTAGACTTCCGTCTTGCTTAAATAATTCTAATCTTTTTATGATGCCAAAAGGGGAAAAAATAATTGCACTAATTAAGGGGGAATGCAGAGTTTCAGAAGGAACTTAAGGTTTTTTTGGTTCACAATTTGGTTCTTTATGGCTCTTTCTAGGATTTTCAATTATAAGTTTGTCATCATCAAAAAGGGAAAAATTGATGGTTACAAGCACTCTGGTTAAGAGTACTTTACTTTATGTTTTGATGATCTAACAAACTTACTATCCAGAACCAGATAAGGAACCTGTTACACATTTACAAGACCTCAAGATCACAAGATCCCAGGATGGGATTCAGCGGGGAATATGATTCAACTCTTCAGAAGTGGAAGGAATAGATGAGGGACTAGGTCCCTATTAGTTCCCGAGGAGACTGCACGAAGTCAACTTTCTAGATGGTAAGTTGCTGCCTGCACACGCTACTGTGCAGAACAGTGCTGCAGTCAACTTTCCAGGGAAGACTTTTTACCTACTTTGCTTGCATCATTGTAAGTGATGTCACACATATAATTATGCATGCAAGGGATTTAAAACAAAGAACTTGAACATTTGACAAGCTCATTAACGTGACTATCCAACAAGCAAGTTTCAAGTGCTTCAAGAACAAAGAACAAAAAAACTACGGACCAGTTCCCACATAGAGTTATTGTATGTCCTTAATTGAGTTGTAAATTTGTAATAATTCTTTAATTGTAATTCATATATAGCTTATTTAGAAGCATTCTATAGGAACCCATTTGTAAACCTTAAACCAGTGTGTTTGAGTCTTGGCTAGAGTTAGTCATGTTGTAAAGTCTTTGTAATAGTATTATTACAAAGTGGCTTGTAATAGAGTATTACAAGTTAGTGAGGGATTAAGAGGTTAATTCCTAGGTTGCATATGTTGTAATCTAAAAGTTGCTCAGTAGTGAAGTTGAAATCCTACAAGAGAAGGTTGTGGTTTTTAATCCCTTTAAGCTGGGAATTTTCCATGTAAAATTCATCTTGCCATTTGATTACTGCCGTGTGTGTGTGTGATGTTGGACCTAATAGAGAACCTAATTCTCTATAGAGTTTGGTGGACCCTTATATTCTATCAAAGCCAAAAATCAGTGGCCAACATCATGACAGCAGGGGATGCAAATGATTCTCCAGCTCTTTTGGCTGGTAAAGGTGATATGCACCAGAACTATCTGAGACAAAAAAGGAACTGGAATGTGTAGTGTGACTATTGTAAGATGAAAGGTCATACGAAGGAAGGATGCTACAAAATTATTGGATATCCTGCAGGTTTCAAGGGAAGAAGAAGATGAACAATGCATATAATGCTTGTGCTGAAAATAATCACCCAAATGTAATTGCTTGAAATGCAGGAGGCATTGGTCAACCTGAGGGATTTAACAAAGGAGAAATGGCCAGAGCACCAGAATTGACTACAGAGCAGTATGATCAGATCATGAAGATGCTGAGTCTGAATATCAATCGAGAACCACAGCAGGAAAATACAGCCAGCATGGCAGGTAATGCTTATTCATTTCTTATTTATATAGCAAAGGCACACTGGATAATAGACACGGGAGCAACCAATTACATAGTTACTGATCTAAGACTGTTGAATTATGTTAAAGCAGTTAACACAAAAGACACTAAGAATGTTAGTCTACCAAATGGGGAAGTAGTGCATGTGACACATATTGGGAATTGCAGAGTCAAAGGAATAGGGGAAATCAAGGATGTGTTGTTTTTACCTGATATCTAATACAACCTTATGTCGGTGTCTAAGGTGACAAGGGATCTTAAATGTCTACTTGCATTCTACCCTGACTTTTTTCTGTTCCAGAACATTTTCAATGGGGAGGAGAAGGGGATTGGTGGATAGAAAGATGGACTTTATCTACTGGTATCACAAACAAATAAAGCAGTTGGAGCAAAATCAAGGGAAGTCACAAGAGGACTAACAACACGGGAAATAAAGAAGAAGTGATGGTGTGGCACACGAGGTTGGCACATGCTTCAGGAGGAGCTATGAAAAAACTACTAGGTTACAACTTAGTGATATGCCAATCTGTAATAGATAGCTGTGATGTATGTCCATTAGTCAAACAAAATAGGTTCCTTTTCCTTCAAGTACTAATAGATCAAATAAGGTGTTTCAATTGTTGCATTTTGATGTCTAGGGATCATATAATACAAAATATTTTGAT